CCAATATGAAATGCCAGCCACATGTGTTAGGGAAACCCTGGGAGCATCCCCTGTAGCCATGAATCTGGCCTCATGTTGGGTGGGACAACTGGGATGGTGGCTGCCATTGTTTTTTTCAAATGGGGGACATGAGGGAGCCTCCAGAATGTGGTCTCCAAATACCACCTCTCACTAAGGGATGGGAGATCAGTGGGGGATCCTAGGCCTGAGGGAGGAAAAACACATCAGACAAATAAGAAAGGGACATGATAAGACAGAACCTCTTATCCTGTGACTAATCAGGAGCCATTTAATCCCCTGGAGCCATGTGAGGAAGTCTGATGCCACTTGGGGAGACCTCCCCTAGGAAAATCTTCATCATTGGTGGTCGCCTGTCATCATCAATTAAATATAATGACAGTGGCTTTAAACGTATTAAATGGCTTGAATCCTGGAATTCACCAGGAGAGAAGACATGAATTGTTCACCCTGGAAGGATGGCTGGGCCCTGAATCATCTGTGTGCAATGTGGCTCCTTCCTAGAGCATGAAGCTCACTCCTGGGTGAACAGAGCCCAGCTGTAGATCCCTGGCTTCACAGACACTCTGCAGCACTCATGAGAAGGAGGTGAACTGAAGCCTCGACCCACTACCTTCCTTCCCATCTGAGGGATGTAGCTAGTGGCCATCCTGTGCACCAACATTACTACAAGAGTGGCAACCTGACATGGGTGACTTGGCTGGCAGCAGCCCCATGTCCTTGGAAGCCATTTGCAATGTCCAGTCTGAATCAAGTTAATCTCCTTCATGCTGGAATCATTTTCCAGGAAAATAAAAGCTGAGGGAAGTCCTAGGTTCCTGCTCCAGGAGGCATGGCTGTATTCCAACCAGGGGAAGATCTCCAGACAGCTCTCAGCTCCTGCAGCTCTTGCCTTGCTGGGAGGCTCTAGAGCAATTGAGGAGATATTCACATTTGACAACCGGCCTGACGGCACATGCACCCATTACCATTTGATGCCATATTGCTCCTCATGTAAACAGCAGCACCAACATGTAACGAAGTCAGTGCACTTCTGGTGTTTGTGATGCATTTGAGGAGACCCTGCTTATGTCTCGATATTAGGGAATTAGCGATAATTTCTATTTAGGTGTGGTAATGATATTATAGTTATTTTAAGGTCCATATCCTTCCAGGACAGTAATGGAGTACTTACAGATGAACAGATCTGATGTCTGGTATTTCTTTCTAAATAATGTGTATGGGAGAATTTATTTTGCTGTAGGTGGGTCGGCATCATCTGTGATTTTCTTATTTTGAGTGCTGGGCGATGAGAACATGGGACATTGTTATTTTTCTGTCTCCTTATTTGTATGTTCAAAGTTGTTCATAATATACACTTATAACGCAGGCCAGTCTTTGGACAGCTGCTGGGTGTGAAGCAGGCGTGGCTTTGTACCCAGCAGAGCTGTAGATCTGCCCCTCCTTGGGTGGTCATAGTTTTCTCCTTCGTGAAACGGGCTTAGAGAAGGACTGTGGCCACTGGAACCCTTCAGTCTTCTTTTAATTCAGAGGCTGGGATTTGGAGGAGAGGTGGCTGTGATCAAGCACCAAGGGGCCCTTTCTGTGTCTCATTGTGACTGCAGAGTTTCCTGTCTTTGCAGGCTTTGTCCCTGGCCTGTCAGGGCCACCCAGCAGCTGTGGTGAAGGCAGATGCCACATCCCTGATGTGCTGGAGGCAGAGACAGGGAGTCTAAGTTTGCCTGGGCACTAAGAACGCACAGTCATCCAGGGCCTCCGTAGCAGTTTGGGTAGCAAGGCTCCACCACTGTGAACAAGGGAGGGAGAAGGTCCCAGTGGGCAGGAGGGTCTGGGGGAGCTGAGTGTTCCTGGATGCCTTGACCTTGCCTGTAGTCCTCCACCCACATTCATATAGCCCTGACCTAGTCTGACCCAGCTCCAACTCTCGTCATGAATTTGACATGGCCTCCTTCAGACCTTGAGCCTGACCCTGAGCCTACAGCCATCTGATCATACAGCCGTAACACCTTTGTTCTTAAATCTCACTTTATGTTCCATAAAGTAGTTCCATGAAATACTAGTATCTTGCAGAACATTATGGGGCTTTTTCAGGTGCCAGATGGATAAATGTGACTTTAGGAAAGCTAAGCTTTATCATATGAAATTATTTCCCTAGTAGAGAACTTTTCATTACCTTTTCTTGGATGACGTGCGTCGTGAAGTCTAGGAAATGCACCTGTATGTTTCATTCTCCAATCCTTCTGAGTGCTTCCGGTGGCAGCACAAGTATGGATTCCTTTCCTGCTAAATGGTCTCGTTTGGAATGGGGATTTTCAACTCTGTTCCTGCTGAGACCATGACATTGACTCACAGGTGCTCTTCACCCTTACTTCTGCCTCTAGCCCACGGATCTGGGCTCCTCAGAGACCCCTTCATTTTTCCTGATTTCCCTCTCAGGACTGTCCTGCATCCCGGTGCTGAACCATGGTATTTCCCAGTTTTGCAAGACCTACATCCCACCAGATGCTTGCAGGACAACATGAAGGTCTGGATCATGGATCCCCCTGACACAGAGAGCTCCGTGGAGTCACTGGCTCGGTGTACAGGGTCAGGGATGCCATGTCAGGGACCTGGCATCTGACAAAGAGCAGACGTATCCCCTGTCCCAGACCAGCAACTCTTCAGCCCAGAGACCGGAGCAGACACAGAAGGCATGCGAGCAGTGCCGTGTGATGCGTGGTTAGGTCTCTGTTGACAGACAGAATCTAGGAGAGTGTGACACCCCCCCGGTCCCAGCCAGGCAAGGTTGGTGGCTCAGGGGTACAGTGGAGAGCTGAGGAAGGGGTGTCTGGGTGAGGAAGGCCCCACCTGCAGAGATACCCAGGAGACTGAGAACCCCTTCACCTGGGGAACTTTCCCACTGGGTTCAGGATTCTTTCCATCCCAAACTGAGAATGCAGGAAAGGCTAGGAATTATATGTGAGAAAAGAAAAAACGAGATAAAACAAGATTTCTGATTGTCAATGAGAATATTTATTGAGGGTTTATTGAGTGCAGGGAGAAGGACTGGATGCCTTGGGGTGGGAGGAGAGACCCCTCCCCTGGGATCCTGCGGACCAGCTAGGCCTGGTCAGTGAGGCTGGCTGGTCCCAATATGAAATGCCAGCCACACATGTGTTAGGGGAAACCCTGGGCATCCCCTGCTAGCCATGAATCTGGCCTCATGTTGGGTGGGACAACAGCTGGGATAATTGGCTGCCATTGTTTTCAAATGTTTGGACATGAGAGAGACCCCCAGAATGTGGTCTCAAATACCACACCTCTCACTGAGGATGGGAGATCAGTGGTGGGGATCTAGGCCTGAGGAGGAAAACACATCAGACAAATAAGAAAGGGACAAGATAAGACAGAACCTCTTATCCTGTGACTAATCAGGGCCATTTAACCCAATCCTGGGCCATGTGAGAGTCTGGCCACAGCCACTTGGAGACCTCCCTAGGAAAATCTTCATCATTGGTGGTCGCCTGCTGTCATCATCAATTAAATATAATGACAGTGGCTTTAAACGTATTAAATGGCTTGGATCCTGGAATTCACCAGGAGAAGACGCATGAATTCTTCACCCTGGAAGGATGGCTGGAGCCCTGAATCATCTGTGTGCAATGTGGCTCCTTCCTAGAGCACGAAACTCACTCCTGGGTGAAGAGAGCCCAGCTGTAGATCTTCTTCACAGACACTCACTGCAGCACTCATGAGAAGGAGGTGAACTGGAAGCCTCGACCACTCTACCTTCCTTCCCATCCCAGGTGAGTGTAGCTGAGTGGCCATCCTGTGCACCTAACATTACTACAATTACTTAGCCTGTTTATGGGTATTATTTGGCAGCAGCCCCATGTCCTTAGGCCATTTGCAATGTCAGTCTGAATCAAGTTAATCTCCTTCATGCTGGAATCATTTTCAGGAAAATAAAGCCAGAGGGAAGTCTAGGTTCCCTGCTTCAGGAGGCATGGCTGTATTCAACCGGGGAGAGAATCTCCAGACAGCTCTCAGCTCCCTGCAGCTCTTGCCTTGCTGGGAGGCTCTAGAGCAATTGAGGGAGATATTCATTTGACAACCGGCCTGACGGCACATGCACCCATTACCATTTGATGCCATATTGCTCCTCATGTAAAACAGCAGCACAACATGTAACGAAGTCAGTGCACTTCTGGTGTTTGTGATGCATTTGAGGAAGACCCTGTATGTCTGAGTATTAGGGAATTAGCGAGTAATTTCTATTTAGGTGTGTTAATGATATTATAGTTATTTTAAGGTCATATCCTTCAGGACAGTAATGGAGTACTTACAGATGAACAGATCTGATGCTCTGAGTATTTCTTTCTAAATAAGTGTGTATGGGAGATTTATTTTGCTGTAGGTGGGTGGCATCATCATGATTTTGCTTATTTTGAGTGCTGGGATGAGAACATGGGACATTGTTATTTCTGTCTCCTTATTTGTATGTTCAAGTTGTTCATAATATACACTTATAACACAGGCCAGTCTTTGGACAGCTGCTGGGTGTAAACAGGCGTGGCTTTGTACCCAGCAGAGCTGTAGATCTACCTGCCCCTAGCCAACTAGAACTATTCCAGAAGGTGGGGCTGGAACCCACCAAGGTTCTCAGAACACTGCACTCTAGGGCAACCAGCCTCTCCGTGGGAGGAGAGGGGCACCCTCTGCACCACCCCATGGTGTTACCAAAAGTTGAACCATGGGTTGGTTCAACTTTGCAGAGAAGAGCCCACCTACCCCATCTGTGGAAATTCACTCCTTAGCGACACTAATGCCCTCCAATAAATTCAATCCTGGGCCTGACTGATGGTTGGCGCAAAAACCAAATCCAAGATCCCAATGTCCTCCAGAAGCCTGGACTTCCAGGGATCCTGCTGCAGGTCACAGGATGTCACCGGTCCCCTTCTCTCTGTGGGCTGAGTGGGGGGGCCATGTGGACTCCCTCACAAGCAGATGCCACCAGGGTCAGTGGCCCCAGCTTCCTCCTTCACAGCTGCATTGGGGGCTGGGGGTAGGGGCGACCCAGGGAGGGTTTTTGTATGAGTCTGTGTCACAGTGTGGGTTTTTCGGAGGAGGGACCCGGCTGACCGTCCTAGGTGAGTCTCTTCTCCCCTCTCCTTCTCCACTCTTGGGACAATTTCTGCTGTTTTTGTTGGTTTCTGCGTCTTGTCTCAACTTGTGGTCACGCTTTCTCCCTGGATCCCAGGCCTGAGCAAGGACCTCTGCCCTCCCTGTCAGACCTTTGCCTGCCTCAGCAGGTCACTACGACCGCTTCACCTCTGACCGTAGGGGGAAGGGACTGTATAGAATGACCTCCTAAGCCCCATTTGTCTGTCTCCTCTCTGTCTGTCTGTCTGTCTGTCTGTCTCTACATCTGCCAGAGGAAGGCTGGGTCTCTAAGCGTTCTTCTGTTCTGGCCTCCTCAGTCTGGGTTCTTGTCAGAGCAGCGTTACTCTTGGGTTACTTTGGTTCCATCTCCTGGGGAATCAGGAACAAGGGATCCGAGGGGGGGACCTCTTGGGAGACTTTAGACGGACCCAGTGCCCTCGGGGCTGATGCTCAGGAATCACAGGGCTGGGAACCAGGACCAGAATCCAGACCCACAGTGAGGTAGGAGGTGGATGGGCTGCCCTGGGTGTCTGGGGGCTGCCAGGGACTGAGCCCTCAGCCAGCCTGAGACTCAGGAAACCCAGTCAGGAGGGAGAAGGGAGAAGCAGACTCTGGACACCAGAAAGCCAGGGAAAGGGTCTCCAAAGGAGAGGATGTGAGGAAAGGGCAGGCTCCTGGGTCTCTTCAGGACATACCCCGCGCCCAGGGGGATCAGAGGGGGCAGAGTACACAGCGGGAAAGCCCCGCTGCTATGACCAGGTAGCCGGGACATGGGGTGGATGCCAGAAAAGACCCCGTGGAATAAGAGAAACCCCAGGACAGCAGACAGACTCCCTGATCCCCCCAAGCCCTTGCCCCACACACAGGCTCCAGAACTCATGTTTGGCTGGAACAGCCTGAGGGACCAAAACGCCCCAGCATCCCACAGAGCAGGGGAGCCAGGCCAGAAAAGTAACCTCAGAGATCGCTGTGCAGGAGAGACACAGAGCTCTCTTCATCTGCTCAGGGGACAGATGCCACCCAGAAGGCCCTGTCAGGATGGCAGGAGAGGGCAGGGTCAGGGCGCTGACGGTCAGAGGTCCGTGTGGGAGGCCAAGACCCCGAGAGATCTCAGGATAGGTGATCACAAGGTGTCTAAGGCGAAACAGCTCCCAATGCAGATCAGGACATGGTGGAAAACACCCTGAGCCCTCTGCATGGCACAGACCCTCAGACGCACAGCCCCGGAACAAGCGCACCCCAACACCTCATCATATACTGAGGTCAGGGGCTCCCCGGGTGGACACCGGGACTCTGACCCCCTGCTCCTCGTTCACCCCGCAGGTCAGCCCAAGGCTGCCCCCTCGGTCACTCTCTTCCCGCCCTCCTCTGAGGAGCTTCAAGCCAACAAGGCCACACTAGTGTGTCTGATCAGTGACTTCTACCCGGGAGCCGTGGAAGTGGCCTGGAAGGCAGATGGCAGCGCTGTCAACGCAGGAGTGGAGACCACCAAACCCTCCAAACAGAGCAACAACAAGTACGCGGCCAGCAGCTACCTGAGCCTGACGCCCGACCAGTGGAAGTCCCGCAAGAGCTACAGCTGCCAGGTCACGCACGAAGGGAGCACCGTGGAGAAGACAGTGGCCCCTGCAGAATGTTC